GGTAATGGCCAACACTGGGGCACTAGAATCTAACCAACCGGACCCGAGGCTTCGAGCTGGAGGTACCATGACGTGGACAGCACCAGCGTGCGTGCGTGTGTGTGTGTGTGTGTGTGTGTGTGTGTGTGTGTTGGGGGAACACTCAATAATCACAGGGTGCAGAGGGCTACAGGATCAGAGGCACAGCACGGATACCAGGGGCAGAAAGGATCCTTTGCCCCCCAGGAAAACACCTCGAGTCACATCTGCCAGAAGGCACCACCGGGACCCCTGGGGACCAACACCCTCACCCTGTCCCACTGTTTCCTCTGGCGCCCACCTACTCCTGGGACTCCAGCCTCCAGCCCCAGGATCCGATTCAATGGGTGGGGCCTGGGCACCTGATGCTTTTGACAGCCCTGGTTGAGAGCCCTGGGCCACAGTCCCCAACCACATGCCACAGACTGGCCTCCCCATTGGTGGTCCCGGGTCACCGGCGAGCTCCGGCCTTCTCTTCCATGAAACCTTCTCATACGTGAAAACCTCTTTCCTCTTCCAATACCAGAGTCACTGCGAACTGTTCACACCACCTATCCCGGGCATCTGAAGAGTAACCAAGGGAACAGGGCCTGATGGCTTTGGAGCAGGCAGGCGCTGGGGCGGTCCCCCTCAACTCTGCTAGTGGTATGACCCCAGGCAAGTCCCAGTCACCCCTCAGGGCCCCTGGGAGGACGAAATGATGAATGTCAGCTCTCCAGCCCAGAGCCAGGCACACAGTGGGCTCCGCGGATGGCCAGCCCTCCGCCCTGCGCGAGAATGCCCGTGTCTCACACCAGGGAAGGCCCCGAGACAAGGCTTTTTACAAAGTAAACTCTCGCATCCCCATGTCCCCTAGCAGCACGATTCACAAGAGGTGGCAGCACCTGAAGAGCCCACTGATGGGTGGGTGACTGAGCGAGAGGCGATCTACCCGTACAACGGAACGCTACTCGCCCGTGGGAGGGAAGGCCGTTCAAACACCTGCTACCGCACGGATGAACCTCGAGGGCAGCACGACGTGTGGTACAGTCTCAGTAGGACAAACACAGTGAGGGACCCAGAGTCATCAAGCCTCAGACGTAAAGTCGAATGGCGGGGGGAGGGGGGTCCGTGTTTAACGCGGATGGAGTTTCCACGCCGGATGAAGAAAAGCTTCAGGAGATGATGGTGGCGGTCACACCACACCGTGAACGGACTTCATGCACACGCTCACGAAGGGTTAAAATGATACATTTTATGTTATGTATGTTCTACCACAATAAAAAAAAAAAGAAAGAAAAGGAAAAGTGGACCCTCTGCCAACAACATCCCGGTCTGGAAGTTGGAAGTCGTCCCCGCGGTCAGCCCCGCGCACGCACACCCCCTAATCCCACACCCGCCTCCCCAGGGCACATCCTAGGAACAGACGGCACGCACAGCCGTCTTTGTATCCCTGACCCCTTAGCTTAACCCTGTGCGAGACGCACACAAACGCTCGGCACCTTCAAGTGTGATGATGCAGAGGTAGGTTTTGGAGATGCCCCCACCCCGCTCCCCCAGCAATAGTCCACAGACACCCACGGGGGGCCCAGGCCAGCTCCGAAAGCGGCAAACACATTTCAGCAATCGCTTTTACTACGTAATGAGTTACGAGGAGCATCTTAGCCAGCAAAAAGCTTCCAAAGGCAGAAAAAGGAAAGCGGAAAAGGGGATCTTGCATGGAAGTCACGTATACACGAGGAGCGTACTCCTGAAACGGTGAGCGGGGTGTATGCGGAGACCCTGAACGCCTAAGTCCCATTTCCCGGGCCGGTATCACAGAAGGACAAAGAGGCCAGGGGGTCCCTTCGGGTCCAGGTGGTCGGGGATATGGTTATGTTCACAGCCCGGGAAAGAAGAAAAGGCGGAGGGCGGCCCAGGTGAGCCACACAGGTGAGTCATGACAAGCCCATAACTCGGCTCAGAAAGATGCCGCACAAGTCATGCGCTCACCGGGACACAGGCCGTGTGACAGGGGGAGGGCGGAAGGGTGGACACGCAGGAATGCTTCCAGGGGGCCCTCCTGCCTGATCTCAAAGACACGGGGAGCAGGGGAAGAGAAAGCAAACAGCATTTTCAAAGCACAGAAACTGGGTCACATGGAAACAGAAATTTCCACTCCGCCCTTGAACATCAAAGATAACACTAAACAGGACCCAAGATTTCTCGACCTTAATAAACGAGAAACGCTCTCACAGAACCGCCCGGGCTCTGGCTCAACAGCACATTCCAAAGGCGCTTGTTGTGTGCAAAGCTCTGAGGGAAACAAGGACAGGGCCAGCGCTGACGAGCCCGGGTCTGTGACCATAGAGCCAGGGGTCCGAATCCCACTTTACCACATGCGGGCAATGTGGCCTGGAGGGGTCCCTTCACCTTGCCAAGCCTCAGTTTCCCCAGCTGTAATATGGGAGTGACAGCAGTATCTGCCTCACAGGGAGTTCTGAGGAGTAAGTGAGACCATGAGTGCTCAGCTCCTGGTTCGGAGCACAAGCTCTGTGAAGGTGAGGAACGGAGGTGGGAGAGCAGGCTCCAAGAGAGGGACAAAGGAAAGAGTGGAGAAGGGGAAGGCGTGGCTCTCCCGCACCCCAGGAAGAACCAGGGAAGGCTTCCTGGAGGAGGCAGCAATTGAGTGCAACTTTGAAAGATGGCAAGAATCTGGAGAAGGGACTCTGGGACTCTCTGCAAAGCATACAGGTGACAGATTGGAGCCTGGACTCTGGAAGCCCACCACGCAGCCACGTCGATGCTGAACCACAGGAGGGTTTGACAGACACCTCTTGGGGACTCCATTTCTCAGAGCCCGGGTTCCCCAGGGGACACAGCCCCGTTGCTGAGGACCTTTCTGTCTATATCTGATTACCGTCTTCCAAGGGTCAGTCTGACATTTGGAAGGAGGGGCTCCTCTTGAACCATGGCTTCTCCCTAAGGACCCCGCTCTGCCAGTTTAGTGGCTTTCCGTCAATCCCTGGAATGTTCTCGTTTTTAAAGTACTGGTCCATTTGCCAGAAAGCCGAACACTTCAAAGATGCAAAATGCCGGCTGCCTTGAATCACGGAGAAAGATCTGCTGGCCTGGGAGAGCTGGCGTCTGGTGCGCACAACGGGTGTGGACGTTCAAATGGACGGGGGCTCGATGCCATGAGGCTGAGGACACACTGATTTCCTGAGTGCGTGCCATTGTTTTGAGATGAATGCCCCTGTCCACATAAAACCTGACAGCCCGCCACGAGGAAATCCATGGCAAAGGTTCCCGCTGCACCCAAGTCCACCTCCCAGGGGTGTCGCTGCATGGCCATGGGCCGCACAGGGGACACGGGGCTGAGGGAAAAGCCAGGAGGTTGAGAGGAGGGATGGAGGCCAGGTCAGAAGACAGAGCCAAGGGGGGGTGGGGGGCGTTTGATACCACAAGTGCCCCTTTGGGGACGGCCACCCCTCACTCAGCGGGAGCAGAGGGCAGACCGGGACATGCAGACAGCAATCACGTCTTACAAGCTTTCAGAAAAGCTCAAATTTAAGGTTTAGTGTGGAATCTCCCAATTTATAAATGTAAGCACATCGTTCCAATTCTGTGGGCCAACCCAGGGCCATCAGTTTGCAACCTCAGGTCGCAGTGAATGTACAATCCACGTCCCCACCCGTCCCTGGGAAGTGGACAGAGGGCTGCTAATGTTTCCCGAGTACCTACTACGCACCAGGCAACTTCCGTGACACCCATTCATCGCATCTCCTAACAAGTGAGGGAGCGGCTGGGTCCTAGCAGGGCCGGCCCCTGTTACATGTGAAGGCACCTGATATACACCCCCCAGTGAGCCCCAGAGTCAGGACTGAACCCGGTTCTACATGGCCCTGCACCTCACTATGCCTGGTTAAGTCCTACGCACCTTCAAGCCTCAGCTTATTGGCAACCTCCTCCAGGAAGCCCTCCTGGGTGCTACCTTCCCAAGCCGGGCTCCTCTCTGCCTAGCTCACATCACACAGCCGTCCAACTTTCTCTTTCCTGGACCATCTGCCCACCCACACCAGCACTGGCTCAGCTCCTGCGCACCATAGGTCTTCATACTTGAGGAGCAGTACAACAGAAGGCTTCGAACCCTGGAGCCGGTCTGCTGGTTTCAGATCCCGGTTTGACCACTGATGAGCTGATGATCCTGGGCAAGCTACTTATTTGCTCTGTACCTTGGCTGCCATCTGTGAAATGGCGGAAGATTGCAAGACGCAATGAGGTGCTGGCATGCAGTAAGCGCTCAATAAATGCTAGCTTTTAGCATCTGCTGGATCGATGTACACAGGCATGCTTCCAAAGCCCGATCCTTTTCCATCACCCCACCCA